AGCGTTGAAATGGGGCAGGGAACCAGACTAGCGTCCTGTGACACTATTGGTTGACACGAGGTCACATACCGTACACCCTTATTATATAGTCATTGTGCATTTTTCTCGGTTTTATTTTTTGGGGTGCATGATATTTATGTTCAACCATGGATGTACTACTAGTACATCCATGGTTCAACCATGGAGATAGAAAAGAATCTCAAATTGTTATGACTAACATCGATAAAATAAATACATAAATTGCTGATCAATGAGGCTGTTTTCACAACTGCAAAAATGACGATTTTTTTACGGTTTTTTTTCTGATCAACCAAAGACATTCGAAAAGATCTTTCTAATGTCTTTGGATCAACTGAAGCAAAACCGTGACGATGCTCAGTTTTACTTGTGTAACGCCTTTAAATGACACTTGACCTCCCAGAGGGCTGGTACTTCAGCTAATCAGGGTTCCTTTTACGAATGTGATTGCTTTTAGCCAATCACGTTCTTTGTTATATTGTCAGCTCAGCTCCCGTAGCAACTCGCGCAAAACATCAATTTCAAAATGGATGCCACCAAGAAGCCTCTGAGAATTCCCCCGGAATTTACTACATACGCTGAAAGACATGGAATATTTGATCTCTATAAGGTAACCAGTTACTGGGGCTTGATTTTAAACAGTGTTATATAATTGTGAGTTTGATTTTATATCATGTGGATCATAGTTACCATCGTTATGCATAACCGCCATTGAAACCAGTGTCAGGGTTTGATGAAATTGGTGGTACAACGAAAGCCCCTAGTTTGAATTCCCCCAGTCGATTACATTGGTGTCCTATATATGTTCAACATTTTTGCTTGTAACTTCAATGATTTTCTGATTTGTTTATGTTTTGGCCTTGAAATTGCGTTTGTAATGTTCAGAATACTGTGTATCCGATTTTCATATTGTCGTTTCTTGGATATCACGGGTCAGTCACAGGGATCCAATCAAGAGTAACCACATAATCGTCATACACTGACAACACTGCTTTCATTTGATATTTTTAAAATATGTGATAGATTACAGATCATTTCAGATTATTATTTAATTTCGTTGTGTTGTTACACTTAACATAAATTCCTTTCTTGGTACTGGTAGGCAGCATAACAGGTATTCATTGACCTCATGTTTGAACAACGTTACCATGGAAATTATTCAACATATACTGCATTTTCAGTCACATGAGATATCCTTAAAGGAGAAAGTTTTGAGACTTGATGTGATTTGCAAAGAGTTTATACACTAACGAACAATTATAAACTGCGAAGTCAGTTATATGTTTCAATGGAGATAATGACTCCATAGAATTATTACCACTGCTCCAAGCATTCAAACAGCAATGGAGTGGGTTAGCAAACAAATTTGTTAGTCATTTAGCAGTGTTGCTTTCAGACAAGCATCCAGTAGTATTTTAACTGATGTGATTGTGAGATTGTGTGTGAACATGATAAACCACTGCTTTGATAATGCGTAATCAAAAGGCTGTAGTGGTTTGACATGATGTGTTTTTACCAGCTGGTTTGAAGAAATCATGTAGTGGTGTCGCAGTTTAAAAAGCAGATCTTGACGCTTGTTAATTGGTAACTGATCATCGCTAGCAAACTTGCTTGCTAACGTGCTGCATTAGCACACTCTACCTTTAACTTGATTCTTCTGAGGACATGTGGTCGATTTTGAGAATGTTTCCAGTTTGTAAAATTTTAGTAAAAAGGTTGTGGAGTTATCATAATATTTTCAAAAAATAGTATACCTATTTATTTTAAATATACTTAAGTAAGGGCTTTATAGTTCTACTTCATGTACTCTGTGAAGTGAATGTATAAGCATTTCATGTGAAAAAAAAACCTTATATCGCACATTTATTAGTGTAAAGCAAGCCTTTTCATCATTGTTAATAGTCTATAGTTGAATAATCTCCAAGCCTACAAAATGAGAACATTTTCAGTTTTTTGTGGAATTATATTATAAATCCTTTTACATGTAAAACTAATATCACTCCAGATAATGGCTTACTACTGTGCGTGTTATATAATACCTTGTGTTTTTATTTCAGAGACTCATAGAAAGAGTTATAATCAATAAACCTGAAGACCCTCTTGAATTTCTTATTGAGGAGTTAAAAAAAGATAATGATGACGGTAAGTTGATTATTACTATGCTCAAGCAACTCAATCTACTTTATCAAAATCATGTTTTACTTTAATCCTAATCTTGTCAGCCTTATGGTACTTTTACATTGACTTGACTACGTAAGGGTTAAATTATGACAACATACCACTACATGCAGTGGTATATCAAATAGAAACGAACATTAAATTTTGGGTATACATTTCTAAATTTAGGAGATATATCATTATTGCTGCATAGATAGTAGATCAACTGTATACTGTGAAATTTTTGCTGAAAAGACTTTTTGGGTGTTTTGTATGAAATTTATTTTCACTAATTTTTGCCAAATTGAATGTAAAAAATAGGAAAAATGGTCTATTCACTGGATTTTATTTTCACTGAACAGTATTTTACAGTACATGGCTCAGACAGAAAGAGCTACCATTTTTAAAAGCTTGTAGACAGATAACAATATCAATGTTTGGCTAATTGTGAAGGAAATAACTTACTTTGTGTATGACTTATTCATACTTTATTATTCTGGTATATCAATAAATAGACATAATATTGGCTATTAAGAACAGAAATTAATTATTGTACATCATCACATACTGTGTAATTACACAATATCATAGCATAAACCTGAATACTGTAAAAGGGTTAATTATTCACTGAGTTTTAATTTAGCTTATTTCGCTGACTGGAAAATGCGCTAAATTAAAACCCAGTGAATATGTAAAATTTAGCATAGAACACATTATCTAAATGATAAAATCCTGAATTTAAAACCCACAGAATATGCCTGAAATGGTAAATCAGTGAAATTTAAACCCAGTGAAAATTAGTCATTTTACAGTATAGGAAAAATGGTCTATTCGCTGGATTTTATTTTCACTGAATCAGTATTTTACAGTACATGGCTCAGACAGAAAGAGCTACCAATTTTAAAAGCTTGTAGACAGATAACAATATCAATGTTTGGCTAATTGTGAAGGAAATAACTTACTTTGTGTATGACTTATTCATACTTTATTATTCTGGTATATCAATGAATAGACATAATATTGGCTATTAAGAACAGAAAATTAATTATTGTACATCATCACAGACTGTGTAATTACACAATATCATAGCATAAACCTGAATAGTCTGAAAAATGTCATGTTTGTTTTGTTTTTTTTACAGTGCCTGCAATTTTGATTCACGGACCACCAGCATCTGGTAAAAGAACTATAGCTAAGTTAGTGTGTAGCAAACTGAGAAGTGCTCACATTACACCTCAAAATATCTTGGAAGATGACGTTTCACCAACAGTTGCCAGAGCTAAAGAATACCTTGCCAGGAAGGAGGTAAGCACTGAATCTCTTTATATAAAACTACTATTCTCAGCTCAGTGTGCAAATAAACATTGCCTATTTTTTTGGGATGAATGAAATCCAGGTTGGAATCAAATTTGGGGGATGTATTTATTTTAGAACACTAGATGTGACCTGACACTGCTTTGTATGGTTCACCTTTGTGTTCGCCTTTCATTGATTCTAATTGCTTGTAGATCAAGCAATTTTTGTGGATAATCAATCAAACTTACCGGTAGTACATGCACCATGCAATATAGCATTGCTTTGGAATTAGACTTGATGATTTGTTGGTTCTATCCTCTAATAATTAAGTGTTGGCTGCTGGTTCAGAGACTGTACACATTGATTGTTGTTCAGTAAAACATCTCTTATGATACAAGAATTTAACTATATTCATGTTTTTTTTTTTTATGATGCTATCTTATAATTTCGCTTGATGTAGCAATCACTGCATTTTTCATTGATACTAATTTGTTTGATGTTTTCATTTTTGCTTTTAGGAAATCCCCACAGCGCTGTGGGTTGAGTTGATACAGAATCGTTTGAAGTTGTTTGACTGTGTGAAGAAAGGATGGGTCCTGGAAGGTTTCCCGCAAACCAGAGAACAAGCTAGAGCACTACAAACTGTTGGAATACATCCCAAACATTTTGGTGAGTTTGAAATTTGGACTTAAATGAAGTTTAAACTTGGACTGGCCCATTATTCTTTCGATAAAAATTCTGATGGTCCAAAATTACTGCCGATCTATCTGTAGCTTATTCATTGCAATTAATTATTCATTATATGCCATGACATCATGGAACCAAGTAGCGGAACACTTCCAAAATAGGAAAGTAGGCGTGCAGTTGCGCAAAGAATTCTACACACATCAGGATTGTGTGGAACATGTGAGTTCAAAAGTTGCCTGTGTAAGTAATTATATGTGGCTGCTTACAACCATGCCACTTGTTAGCATAGTTACCACCACAAAAACTTTTAAATATTGAGAGAATGTTTTTTTTTTTTCAAAAATTTACAAACACAGCAGAAATCAGTTCAAGGTGAGCTGCTTTGAACATTTTGTTTTGTTAGGTGTTTTTAATGAAACAATAATTGGAATTGGTATAATGTTATAGAATCGTCTCTGAATTCCTTTGAGTCAGTGTGTGATATGTCTAGACACTACTTTATTTTAACTGATATAATCCAAAATACAGTGTCACAATCCAATTTTTGAACTGCACTCCATCGACCATCTCCATTCTAGTACTTGTTTTGGCTTTCAGTATTGGATTTTTATATTTTCAGAACTTTTGTATGCCCATCTTAAAAGACTCATGATAAGATTATAAAATGGCAGAAGTACCATGTAATATGTTTATTTTATTTTTCAAAATAACAAACATTGTTTTGAGAGATTTACAATTACACCGTATTTCTCTATTTCAAGCACATCTCCAATAGAATGAACATAAACCATAAATAGAAGTTTGAATAAACTCGACATGTAATTTATTTTATGTTTTATCATTGTATAATGACTTATTTAGTGTGCAAGATGCAGTAGACTTGTAGTCAACTCATGTCGGGTCAATGATACCAGCTGTACTGTTGAGATATTATAGGGGCAATCTTGTATGCAGGTTATAGCTACTGGTCCTATTTTTCATGTCAATGATTACATATTTTCTTCTTCGTTTGTAGTATTGCTTGATGCGCCTGATACTGTACTCATTGAACGGCAAATGGGAAAAAGAATTGATCCAGAGACAGAAAGTAAGTACAATTTTTTTTTGTACTTACAATGTTTTACAATATGTGAGTGGATGTCACTGGTGCAACACAGTCAGTTTGAGACCTAAACACAATAAAATGAAAATCCCGTGTTGATATTTCTAAATTAGTGTACATCTGTCACTACTCATCTATAACATCTCATCTTTACAACATTTATTTATATTAAAGAGGGGATAACTATGTCCAACACATTTTTGGTTAATTATCCATTTTGTGATTCATATTATCTTTTTTTTTTTCTTTGTCTTTTATATAACTTTTTGAATATCCAGTGTTGAACATGATAACAAAATAATTTATGGTCAGCCAAAAATTCGTCCATTTATTTGCGGTTTCCACATTTTTAATTGCTATTCTGCACATATCGTCCACCATATCATAGGTTATCTTTGTTGTCACACACAGTACTAAGATTGCGATATTAGGTAAAACATGTTTTTGTAATCCGGTCACATGATTAGCAAATTTCTTCAAATTAAAATAGCGACAGAATTTTGAAACAACCAGTGCCTCTTTAAATATCAGGTTAATATCTTGCCAACATATAATTATTAATTACTATTGTTAAAGTTGCTCTCTGAAATCATTACTAAAGTTTTATTGGGAGAAATATCTACTCAGACGTTCAAATTTCAATGATGATTGATTTTGTACTTGTATTTCATGTGCTAGCACTTTTGAATAATTATTGATTTGTTATTATATCCATTTTGTCCGTGTTTTAATACGTATAGGTAAATTAATTACAGAATAATAAAAGATTTGGATGTTTGTCAGATACTTTTAGAATCTCAAATTAATTGAGCTACTAGCTTTATATATAATCTAATCTTGTAAATTTATTCAACAGATGTATACCACACTACATTTGATTGGCCAAATGACCCAGAACTTGTCAATCGTCTTGTGGAACCAGATGACAACAACGAGGATGCCATGGTAAACCGTTTAGTTGTCTACCATCGACACATTGATGGCATTCTTGATTGTTACAGTAAAGTTACCAAGAAGATAAACGCTGATCAACCAAAATCTGATGTCTTTTCACAAGGTAATGATCATAATCTTTTGTTAAAAACAGGACAGAAAAAATGTGGATTTATCGGTAGTAGTAGAAAATGCAATTGCTTTAACCTTTTCACCAACAGTTCCCTCTTTTCATCACAAATTCATAAAATACTAGTAGTCGTGTTTATGGTCTGCGCTTTACTTTCAAAAATTGTGAGAAAAATAGCCAAAATTTTTGGATAAAAATGAAAATTGACTAAAATTTTGTCTGTTGACTCCAAAAGTAGGGTTAATTGCCAGAAATATTGAAAAATATAAGAAAAAAATGTAGAAAAATTTTGGCGAGAAAATCTGGTGAAAAGGTTAATATTTCAGCTGAAATAAATTTTCGCTGAAAAAAACATTCTGGATGTTTAGTATGGAATTTATTTTCACTTATTTTTGACGAGTTGAATCTAAAATATAAGAAAAAAGGTATATTCGTTGGATTTTATTTTCACCGAGTCATTCCTTCAGTGAAAATAGCAAAAATTAATTTCAAACAAAAATAAAGTATTTCACAGTACTATTGAAGTGCATATATCAAGGTCAAACTCAGCAGATATCACTGATAACACTCTAATAACAAAATCATTGAAATGTATGAAATTTTCAGAAAGATTTATTTTATGATACAGAAAACTATATCCTCATTTGTTTTTAATAACATTATCACGTTTATTATGCTATAGAATAACAAAATAAATTCCTAGCTTACCTCATTCAGTATTGATGACTGCAATCTTTTTTACTTCATAGCTTGGACGTTTTTGAACAGTCAGTTGAGAACAGCCGCTCCACACACTCCACGTATTGTGATTCTTGGACCTACTGGTAGTGGCAAGAAAACACAGGCAGCATTGCTGGCTAGCAAATATCACTGTGTTTCAGGTGACTACATTTATTACTATCATCTGAAAGCTAATTTTTCCTGCTAAAAATTTGTGTGGAATATTCTGCCCATTTTTATGAATTTTTCTATAATTTCCCTGCTATGTTTGGATCAAATTTCTCATTGGTGGTCAATATATCTCTTGTCATTTGTTTGTACGCTGTTTGTTAATTTAATGTAATCTTGGTTTGTTGAGTTGTGTCGACCACTCATTATATAGTATAGAATCGTTTAATTTATCTCTGTTTTGATCAGGGGTATCCTGGTTAGGACATTGAATGTGTCACGTCCTGAATTGTATTGATTTAACGAGTTTGTAATAGTTTCGTGTGTATTAAATTAGTATTGTGAATATTCAAATACGATAGTTTCATTGCATTTAATTGTATGTTAGTGCACGATTATGGATGAAGTAGCAGGACGAAGGTATTTCTGACCGAGCTTGGTGACAGTAGGTATATCTCTGGTGTAGTGTAATATCTGTATGGATCTGAACTAGTCCTGTGAATGTCTTGAGAGTGTAGTTTATGAATGATATTAAAGGCTGTGCTATATTATTTGCAGTGTCCACTGGTCAGCTAGTGAAAGAAGCCATTGCTAATGAATCCAAGATGGGCGAAGCTCTTAAACCGTATGTGGAACGAGACATGATGAGTAAGTTATCAATGTGTATTTCATTTCATCAATACTTGCTGCTGATGACATTCATTATCACAGTCCCATGATCTGTAGATCCAAACAAAGCATGGTCAAACCTAGCTCTTGGTTTTATAGCTTTCGCTTGGAGTACTGTAAAATACTTTATTTTCGTTTGGAATTAATTTTCTCTATTTTGGCTGAAGGAATGATTCAGTGAAAATAAAATCCAGCAAATATATATCTATTTTCCTATTTCCACATTCAATTCGTCAAAATTCAGTGAAAATAAATTTCATACAAAACACCCAAAAAGTCTTTTCAATGAAAATTAATTCCAGCTAAAATAAAGTATTTTACAGTATTTGTACTGGATGCACTTCACCTTCGCCATTTGTAAATATTTCAAAACTCTGATCAAAAAGTTCAGCAACTGTATTTAGTTTTACTCATTATTTAAACAAGAGAACCTTCATAATAATTTATGCACACACACATCTCTGGTCACAGTGTCATGACCTGATCAGTGAAATTCATAAAAATAACGACATTTTCGCCGCAGAAGATCATGGTTTTACAAGCATTCCAAATTTTGGGATAGTGCATGAACAGGCCACCTAACAATTCTCTTATTATTTTTCAGTCCCAGATAATCTGATATTGAATCTTTTAAAAGATCGTCTATGTCAAATAGACTGTGTTTCTAGAGGATGGGTGTTACGTGGATTTCCAACAACAAGAGAACAAGCTGAAAACCTTTGCAGTGCAGGCTTTGAACCAAACAGGTAAATACCAGTATTTTTATTTTAAATAATTGCTTGTATCAAAATTCCAGAGTAGATAATAACCCTATATGCTGTTCAAGTCAATGAACTATCACATAAATTACATTTTCAAATTTGTTTGCCAAAACAGAACTTTTTAAGATGTTTGATGATATAAATACACTGTGTTCAAGTGTCACATTACACACCTTCACGTACGAGATACCATATTTGCTCTATTAAAAGTGCACATGAACTAATATTTACAGGTTATAAACGGCGAATGTGGTTGTTTGGTAGCATATTTGGTGGGAAATAATAACTAAGCCTAAGTTTGATTATACACCTGCAATCACTATGAACAGTGCTCACAATTCAACGATTTAGATATAGCTAGATATTTTAGTCAGTTTATTTAGTTTCAGGGGTGAAATCACAGGTATTCTAGTGCCACATATAAGACCTTGCTTCAGCCAATCAGACTGCTAGATTCAGAATAATCATGTTATAACTGGGTTTATTTTATGCTGGATCAAAAAAATATTATTTATTTTGATTGTACACTCACACATTAAATAGAACAAATTAATAATAATAATTCAAATTGTGGAGTTATTCTTACTCTATTTTCAGAAAGATAATTATTATATCATAATTGGCATTGAAATTGTTTTTTTATCATGGGACTGGTTTTCTCTGGGGTAAGACAGGCGGGTATTAATGAGATTAGATCATTGTGTGCTTGTCTGTACTTTATGGTGCTAGTGTTATTTTCATCTACCATCATGTTTTAGTATAGTCTTTTGGACGGGCACTTTAGAAATGAGTTTTAACCAAACTTCCCACTATTGATTGAATTCAATAAATTCGAGTCATTCACACAAACAATAAATAATCAAACAAGAAAATTGACTTATAAGCCATATGGTTACTGAATACTCAATAATGGCTTTCATGTTATTATTTTTTTGGCTATAGTCTCAGCGTTTCATTCCAGATTTTAAAAATAAAGTCACACAACATGAGGGATTTGTTTAAATCGGTCATATTACAAATTTATCACACTTATTATGTTGTTTAGACACACATTCTCATACTGGCTCAATGATATCATTCTTTTTAATAATTGTTGAGTGTTTATGTAAATTATATATTGTATCGTATATTATCTCTTATTCTCAACTCAATTCTTCTTGCACAGAACTTTTTTCTTGGATGTGCCAAATGATTCTGTTATTGAAAGACTTGTGCTGAGAACTACCGATCCAATTACCGGTGAGCGATACCACGAGTTGTACAACCCGCCTAGAACTCAGGAAATCAAAGATCGTTGTCGCCAACACGTAAAAGACACTGAAGAGGAAGTAAAGAAACGACTGGCTTCCTACCAGGCATATGCCAGTGAAATTGCTGATTTTTATGAGAGTGCACAGCATGTGAACGCCGATCAGGATCCACACACTGTATTTGAATGCTTGGAGAGTATGCTGGTGAACCCTCTGCCAAAGCGATACGGTGGAGGCGATCAGTGAAACTCAGCAAAGACGATTACCTTATATTCCTATTGATTCAGCAATTTAATGTTGATGGAGGCACCGCAGACCATTGCAAGTTGACTGTTATCGTTTTTCTCTTATGCCCTGGGATTGTCAGTTTGGATATATGTGACATAGGTGTTTCTTGATTTTTGTAAATATTCTGATTAGTCATAAAAATAAGAAAATATATTCAGTCATACGTTTAGTGGTGTAGAAAGCATTATCCAATGTGTTTGCCTTCTCTCACCATCAAGTACATCTATACCTTCCACAGACATTCAGCATGGAGAAGTTTACAGCCAAGTGCATTAGCAGAGTAATTCATCTAAGCTTACATATAGCGACTTGGACATCCTCCTCACACACATTTGTATGAATTTGTTCAAATTTGGAGCTGGTGATAATTAAAACATGCACACAGTAGACGTAATCTCTTTATTAAACAGTCATCCCAAGTCAGTACAAAAATAAAAAGCTACCGTATATAAACAACACAATGCGATGCGATTTTTGTGCACGGTAATTGAAATCATCTTTGATCACCCTCCTCCCCTAAATCAAATTTGCTGTGTGAATGTTTTGATTATGCACAACCTCTAGGAATCAATTATGCAGTATTCAAATACATTGATGCTTATTATAGCTTGGATGAATTCCACTATAAAAATTTTCTTCTAATCAGTTTACTGCTACTGTATTGCTTTTTCTTAAAACCATAAATAATCAGTGTAATTCAAAGTTTCAGTTGTTTGTCTTGTATTTACTGAGGGACGACGTCAAAAGATCGATGTCGGATAAAAAACTTATATCCTTTAGTTTGGGGGTGGGGGGTTTTGACCTCAAAAAGTTTCCATCCTACAAAAACGATTTTATTTTTTAATGAAGTCAAAAAAATCTTGGAGTATTTGTAGTTCGTTTTTTTCTATCCAATCATGGACAGAAATAACTGAAAAAGAAAAAAAAACATCCAAGACGAGAAAATGGTTTGGTTCGAGTGTAAATCTGTGCGTCAAATGAGGTGCATTTGTAAAATCTGTTTACACCCACCCGACAACCAACTGCTATGCAATACTACTGTCCGATTATCAATTTGTATTTAATGGTGAATGTAGTCTGACGCCATGACCAATATTTATCAATTAAGTTTCAGTGGGGGGGTAGGGGGGTTTGGAAAAAAACTAAAGGAATTAAGTTTTTTATCCGACATCGATCTTTTGACGTCGTCCCTAAGTCCACATTAAAGTCGTTTTTGTCATCAAAATGTGTCTTTCATTAAATGTGTGTTATTAAACTCCCCTTCCGAGCTGGCTTCTTTTTTTTAATCAACTTTCATTACTGAGGGCGCTAATTCAAAACTCAGTGTTTATTGTGTTGCAATCACTACAATTTTCACTGAACTTTTTTGGTAAATAAATACTTTTTAATGTGAGCCACAGCTCTGGTTGATGCGTGACTTCATTACACGACAATACTTGAAAATCTTAACAGACTATGTTGACAAACAGGTGACTTGATATACTTATTTAAACCAATATAAAGAAGTCCATGGTAAGGCTGCCCTCAGTGTCCACTTTTATAAATAAAGTTGCATTGTCGACTTAGTTAAATCTTTAGGGCATACTGATTGAAAACGTGATGTGTTGCCGCGTTTATCAACAAAGTTATTGTAAGATAGCCACATACCGACAATAAAAAAAAAAAAATCCTACTGTTTATACATCTGTCACCGTAACGCCATAAGTTACAGCGTGCCGTTATTTTGGGCCATTTTACAGGTTATTTTCATCCTACCATATTAGGGAATGCGAATTCCAAATGTGGAATGAGTACGCTCGTAAGCGTCCTCTATAATAACAAACATGGCTGCCATCCGAGTTTGACCGGACTCAACACAAAGAAGTTTGCTGATTCTGTTCTAAACTTGTCGGATTTCGGCATTCTCATGTTGTATCCTTGGAAGGAAAAGATGTATAATACCGTAATAAGGTTATTACGAGAATACTTCAAAGTATGCATTCAGACAGCACGCCGTTGTTGCTTCCGCTGTACTGTCTTTGTGCATACTTTGAGGTATCCTCAGAATAACCTCATATTAATCATTGCTGTTCCAATGCTGCATCAAGGCAACTAAGCTGGTGAGTGCATAATGCAAGCATAAATTTGAAACAGAGGCACTCAGGAAAACCAAAGAGTGTGATGTTAACATCACATCCAATATCTCATTGATTATGTAATATACTGGTAGTCATGCGACTTAATGACACCCTAAGTTACTAAGAACTCTGTTACCACCAAATCTATGGCATTGTTCGCTAATGTTCGGTTATTGGCGGGTTGGATATCTAGCTAATTCTGTGGCTGTTGTATTTGTTTTTGATCTGTGGTTCCTATCAATGAAAAAAAAGAAACTGATTTTTGTATTTTAAAACGCGGTGGTCGTCGCGCAGCGCGTATTCGAATTTCGTGTAAATAAACAATGTATTTTACACGCGCTGTATACATCGCTATGAGTCCCATATCGAACAGGACGCAACACGACGACTGCCGCCCTTTAAATATAAGTATGACATTAATACTTCTATTCATCCACTTCATGCTAAAATCACAGAAGTGTTTTGTCGTTAGACTTGTAGAGAAAATGTTTGCAAGTATTGCACTGACGTGTAATACGTGTAAATCCCTCAACCCTCATCCCTTTACATTCTGCTTCGGTGATGTTCACATACGAAAATATATGCTCACTGGTTGTGAAAATGCGGTCTGTATGCCCAAATGCGGGAACTTATTAATTCCACAGTCCCTCTATCCCAATAGAGGGACTGTGTTCAGTCTAAGCCTTGTTCGATGACGACACTGACCTACGCAGCCATACGCAGCCACAACATATTCGCCAACAGAGGGCGATATTCGTAATATAAATCAACTAATAAGCCTTTAGTTGTGTAGCTCTACGTACGTTTGAATTTAAATGCATTTGACACGCGTCGCTTTAGTTGAGACTCTGAAGTTGATATGATGTGCAAAGATAGCGACATTGTTTACTTTCGTTTAATTTGCGACAAGAAATATCGTCAATATTTAGTTGGGGGATTTGTTAGTGGCCACGGTGCGAGTCTCAGCGCGGGTTTGGCATAGCTGTGGGTTTCTAGTTTTACTTACGTCCATTTTCGTTATTTACATCCCTTTTTCTGCAAGATTTTCGTCTTTTTATCATTTATTTTCACGATTCTTTCAACTGTGTAAGAAAACTCGTAAAAAACAATAAAGGACAACAGATGATGAGAATTCGTACAAATATCCTAAGTAACTCACCGTGACTCGGGTAAAACACAACTTTTTTTATCCGCGAAGCACGTTCTGTTGAATATAAATTAAGAGACTCGACCGACTACTATATAAGGGGAGGGTAGACTTGGGTAAAACAAATCTGCAGACTAAATTTGGAGAGAAAACAAACTCTCTACAGGGAAAACAAAACAGAATTTACAGTAGCAATATCGTGAAATCTAGCTTCTTACTAAGTGGGAAAAAAACTTTGTTCTAACATCCCCCTCCAATATTTTCTAAAGTTTGCACTTAACACCCATTTTTGCATATATACATGATTACTAGTATCTCGAATTTATCGCCGGCTCAGCAAAAACAAATTACTGGCCTTTCGGTAAGTATATGTATTTATTGTATAATTTTCTCGCTAAATATACAAATCGTGTAACTCGTCTGACCAACATAGTTACTCCTAATAATAAGCTATGTAATTCAAAATAAAACTACGCTCGTCACTATAACAATGTGGCGCACGCGCACTAAGAAGATCGACAACTTCAACAGAGTTAAGTCAGAAAAAAGATATATGTTGACTGCGCCATTACACATGCAGAACAGCGCTCAAAGTGATGAATAGCTTGCAATTATCAAAGTTCACCAGTTGGTGAGAGATAATTCCTCTCTTCATTGGCTTCCTGTTCTGGCTCGGAATCGTTCCCAGATGGGTACTTACTTACATTGTTAGTTTTGTTACAAAATTACTCTAAAAATGACAAGGGTAGCTATGGGCTAAAATACTATAATTTGCACACAATTCCACACCAGGGACCCCTTCATCTATTTTAGTCAGACGGGGAGATCAATCCATCCTGTAACGATGCAGATTTCAGATCAAACAATTATTGAGCGTGTTGTCGTTAGTACGAAGCGCACAGATTTCTCTACTATTAAATACAGTGGGACTGACGGGCGGCTGAGCGTGTTTGTTTCGAGGGGAAATCGATCCAAACAACATTCACAATATGAGATACTAAAAATCAGTATCTGTACTAGTATGTTTAGTTTTCTATAATCTGCTGTATAATGGAGGTGAGTATAAAAACCATGAACGTGAAAGGTGTCCCCGGTAATAAACGGTAAATCCAAGGGATTGCCAGATATCACTTCAATGTCCCGTTATAATAGGATTATAGCGTATTTTGATAAGGAAGGAACATGGCTGTTAATAGTTTTTTGTGTGTATGTGTGTGTGTTTTTTGTTTTATTTGATTTTATTTTTAAAATTTCATTTTTAACGTAATCAACACCAAAAAAAATGGGTTTCACAAAACACATTACCAAATAGTTTTAGAAAGTTTGTTCGTGGTATTCAGTCATTATTATAGACTCGGCGACAGCCAGTATTTCGTGAAAATGATTTGTGATGTTAAAAATATTAAAGAAAAGTTACAAAGAGGCAACAGAATTGCATTATTATTATCACGTAGGCGCTGAAGGGTGGACTTAGGTTAATGGGTTAATGACCGAATTTCATGAACCACGAACAAAAGACTTAAACGTAACCCAGATTTTTTTTCCCGCCAAAATAGTGAGGCACACTTTTTTATAATGTTACATCAAAATGTAGGACTGAGCCGGAGGTGTAATACATTGTAATGAAGAACTACTTTGTGGAAGAATACACAAATTGTCAATGGTGATGAAGGGATTTGAAGGGGTAATAGTTAAATCAAAGTGAAAAGGTTGACCCAAGGGGGTACGAGACCATAGTAAGACTACTCACTCTTGAAGTAATCCTACTTTTACCAAAAGAAACACTAAAATACGGTAGCAGTAACAATGAGCAGAGACAGAGGAAGACTGATATATAAGACCGTATTTGCTAAAGCACCCAGTGCACACCTAGCGCGTTTAAATTTCGTGTAAACAATCAACGTACTTTATATGTGTTGTGCACATTGACACTGAGCAGACACGTGACGCGAATTCGACATTAACTTGACTAAACTGCCCCGGTTCTGGTATACTGATATTTATTTAACAGGGGCGAATGAGAGATGAACGCCGTATACCGTGTATGCAAACAGTGAATATCTTCTCTCCTGTAACGGTGACACTGTCTTCATCACTGATGGCAGAACGGTTCTATGTTGCTCGGATGATTGGTGGAAGAGAGGGGGAGAACTAAAACGAATAGCCCGACTATTCCCCCAAGTGCATAATCTCGCTGTAACCAAGCCGAGACGGACATCCAAAGAGTCTCTTGGTAGTCTTAAGTCATCCATTTTATGTGGACATTTATATATTTCAAACACGTCCTCGTAGTTAAATTGGCATTTAATAGTAATGTGTTCCTGTTGCTTTAATCAATGGCTATGTAGGTTATGCCTGGAGAAACACTAATCATTGCCTCCGACTGATTGCACCCTTCTTTCACCCCCTAATTTCCTATTTCCAAACCTCCAACGTATACGTTTGTTGATTTTGTACACACGCGATGAAAAACCCATTGGCCTATAAATCAAACTCATTTGGCAAATTGCTCGATTTAATCGCGAATTTACGTGTACTTTTTTAATAATACTCGAATTACAGACAAATTTCCTGGTGGTTTCTGTTTAAAAGAAACAGACGCGAGATTAATAATTGCTGCCCTGACTGATCAGCATCGGTTTGCAAACGCGCCTTACCGACGTGATAACAGTCGACAATTATATTGTCTCATTTCATGGTATTAAAATTTGGTATTTTGATTTGAGCTTTGAGTGATTCGTCATTGCTGTCAGAATCGACTCAGACAGTTGATGTGGAAAATAATTAGGGTGTGCATGGAGAATTAAATCATAAATTCAGAACATGGTGATGATAGAAAGCACCGTGACGTGAACCATCCTTGTTTACGCACGAATTACCTGTCGCTCCCCGGGGACTTTTTTTCTGCGTCGCTGCGAATTAAAAGAATCTGGGCAAATTAAGTCGATGACTTATTTAATTTTGACCCTCATTTGCTGGTTAAAGAAGTGACCACTTCCGTCC